CCTCTATAGAAGCCAGCAATACCCTCTAAAGCAAACGTTTTACGGAAACAGTCTAAAGTTGATTTGTATCTAGCAGTAGATTTATCAAATGAATCTGTTTGTAGTTTAGATTTAACCTATTCCAAAAATGAAAACCAAAAGAAATAATACCACATCCTATCATTTAGTTATTAATATTTTCATTACAATAGGATAGATGAAGACCCAGAGAGTATATCCTGAAATAGCTCCATAAGAAAGCTGCTTCCAAGAAGAAACTTCTTTTCTAGTGATATTTTCTTTTTGCATTGTCTATTGTTTAATAAAATAGTGAATACTCTTTGCACCAAATATTCATAAACCTAACAATATTAGTGGGTGTTAAATGGATATTTAATAAGATATTGAAGTTAGTTTCAAGCAACAAAACTCAGCAAAGTAACATACCATAAAGTAAATTCCATATCCGTGCAGTTCACGAACTAAAGTAATAGCCTGCCCTTTATAGATAGCTGAAAATCCGTACTTGCTAGAAACTTTTTTGATGAAATCTAATGGACCGTTGTAGATTTTATTTCCAGCAGTTTGGACTTGTAATCGAGTTCTAACATGTTCCATAGGACCAGATACAATTGAATTACATAATCCAGAAAATGCACCAGCAAGATATAATTCCGTTAATGAAAAATCTCTCTTGATTCCACCAGTAATGTATCTCTTCATATTTTCCAAAGCACTGAATTGGATAGCAACACATACACCAGCTGGATATCAATAAACATAATAAACCTCCTAACAATGGAGTCAAAGTTCCTTTATAAAATCCAGATGGACCTTGGTGTTAGATTATATTCCCAAACCTTCCTGTTGAAGAGTTTTCTTGACACAATCGGTCACTCCAGTATAAATAGGCGCTTCTCTTGGTTGAGTTTGAAGTCTCACTTTAACAGTCTTTAATGTTAATAATATGAAAATACATCAAAAGGTTGACCCACAAGGACCTAGAATAAACAACATCTAGATACCTGCATGATTCCACCTACACTTCCTGCAAACAACTCCTTGATAGTTTTCACTGTATCCTTATCCATCTAAAAATTGTCTAAAATTGATGTGAAATTTTTCATCTGTTTTTCATTTAGGAATTTTATTGATAACGTTATCCAAAATGCAATGTTTATGGAAAGACACGAATGTAACTGAGAAATTAACTTAATTCGCGTATTGGTTATGCAGACTGACGTGTTGATATCTAGTAACGAAACTATGGTGTCGTTTAGATACAAATTAAAGGAATGAAAAAAGTCCAAACTTTTTAGAATGAAATGGAAAGTAAGAACACTAGAACTAGTTTGATGTTAGATACACAAAAGACTGTAAAACACAAATTTATGGGTCTGGGTTCAACCGATCTGAGTTTCTGTGGAGTGGCAATCATGGCATATGGTGCCAATGATCGCCAACAATATTTGTAACGTGTTAGTTTTTAATGACTCTTTCTTCAAAAAGATTTTCAAAAGATATCAGTTTACAGGAGTCTTTGATTCACTTCGTTTTCCTTCTCTCAGACTGATGAAAATTATCGTTTCTCTTTAGGATCTGTTGCCGCTTCTGTTGAAGCCACTGGCAACAGTACGCCAACATTTATACTGCCACCAAGAGGTGTATAAAACATACGACTTGAAAAACAAAACATCAACTTACAAAAATGTCACAACTATCAGTCGAAACACTTACACACTTAGCATTTGTAAATGGCATTGCGTATCCAATCACACTATTTACTTTGGTATCTGCTGGTCTTCAATTAAAAAATAATCGTTCCTATCGCGTCATTGCCATTTTTCTTGCTAGTTTCTTGTCAGCATTCATTTTTCTCACCTATCCACTAAAATGGACACCACAAGGTGTTTCGCCTATGTTACGATTGGCATGGTTCATTGCATCTGGTTTAACAACACCGTGTATAACTATTGCTGGTGTTCATAGATACACCGCCATCATCACTAACGCTCGAGTTCAAAAAACGTGTGTCACAATCGCGTATGTAGTTGTCTTTGTTCTGTATTCAGCTATCATCTCATCAAGCGTGTTATTTGCGTTAGGAAAAGCTCCTTACAATACCACCATCAATTCAATGGCAATTATCATTCCTATTGGACACATTATCTCTACCATATTCTTTGTCACCCGTACTCAATGGAATGATGCTAAAATGGAAAGTTTCTCTTTTGTCAGCAAATTATTTGCAATTCTGATTGGTGTCATTTGGTCAATTTGGATTGTCTTACTTTTCACTATTAGTACGGAACCGATCTATTTGGCCATCACTTTATTACTTCAACAATTAACAGTTCTCTTGGAAAACAGAATTCTTTCACTTACTGCAACAGTTTACAGTTATAAAAAAGAAACTTCAGTGTATTCAAGTCAACAAACTTCTACTCTTCAAACTGTATCAGTCAAGCACTAAACAAACATACAATAAAAAAGATGCATGTACAATTAGTCTCGTTTGAACTTGATTTGATTATTTGATACGAATGAGATTATTGGTTGTTTTTGATTCTATAAATCTCAAAGGTAGGTGAAATCATGGTACATGTACTTCACTTTGCAAACCAGGAAACATTTTAACGGAACAAGGTTGAAGGTACTCTTATTGAAATTAATGTTGGACCAAATATCCATTCACAAACCTGTCGTATTACACTCTTGATTTCCTTTACGTTGTTTAATATCTTTGATGTCTTTGACTCTGGTTTGTTGGTGTGTCAAAATGAATATTAGAAGGGTAAAAGTCCATCTATACAAGTATGGTCTGTAGAATCCAGTATGAGTATATTGCTTAGTTGAAAAGGTCTAGTATTTGATATGATTAAACACGCTATGACTAGAAATTAAAATTTTCAAAACACAGTAACCAAAGATCACCAACGAACTCACCTTTGACTATCCACTCGAACTTTTATGCTAAACCCTGGCCTTCTGCTGAACTATTGTATCCAATTCAGAGAGATTTTGTCATCGGACGGGCGGACTTGCGGAACACACCACCACCACTTAGTTACTCTATAGGATCTTTCTTTAAAGACAAATCTTCATTGCTAAGGATTCCAGAAACTTAGTTTATCAGTATGATTATCGAATTGGATTCTAAAGGCGAAACATCGACATACTTCTTCAGAGAAAAGGTCATTTGGTAAAAGAACTGTAGGATTATATTCAAACAAGTTGATTGAATCTTGACTCAATAATATACTTATTGTCATACACATGTGGTTATGCTTAACGAAATATCTCGAGTGACGTGTCTTTAAGCCAATCAGATTCTGCAATTCATTTCCACATCTTTCGTATTTATTACTCCTAGCTAATTCATAGAATTACAGCTCTGGATATGCACTTCACACTGCAGCTTTTAAATGGAATCTATCCAACCTTACTCACAGTAAATAGATGTATTTAAGTTTCGATTCAATACACCAATAGCTGCGTCAACCACAAAATGCATTGTCTGCAAACAATGAGTCAAGCCACTCAGGAACAATGTAATTGAATCAAATATTCATTAGAACAATGGCTTTCGTTGAGTCAAAAGTCCATCAGAACAATGGCTTTTATGTGGATAAAAACTTCACATAATCTATCTTAGACACACAGTTTTATCTCGTATGTCACAACCTTCCGTTACAACACTTACAGGTCTAGCCTTTGTAAATGGTATTGCTTATCCAATCACGATTTTCACCGTGATATCTGCTGCTCTTCAATTGAAAAAGAATCGTTCTTATCGTGTCATTAACATTTTCTTGTCTAGTTTCTTTTTGGCATTCATTCTACTCACCTATCCATTAAAATGGTCACCACAAGGTGTTTCTCCTGGACTGCGATTACTCTGGTTTATTGCGTCCGGCTTGGCAACACCTTGTATTACCGTTGCTGGTGTACATAGATACACCGCCGTAATTACCAACGCTCGACTTCAAAAAATATGTATCACAATCGCGTATGTGATTGTTTTTGGCCTGTACTCGGCTATCATTACATCAAGTGTGTTATTTTCGTTAGGAAAAGCTCCTTACAATACCACAGTCAATTCCTTGGCAATTATCATTCCTATTGGACATATTATCCTCACGATTTTCTTTGTCACCCGTACTCAATGGAATGATGCCAAAATGGAAAGTTTCTCTTTTGTCAGCAAATTATTTGCAATCCTGATTGGTGTCCTCTGGTCAATTTGGATTGTCTTGCTTTTCACTATCAGCGCAGAACCGATCTATTTGGCTATCACTTTGTTACTTCAACAATTAACAGTTCTCTTGGAAAACAGAATTCTTTCACTTACCGAAACAGTTTACAGTTACAAGAAGGATACTATTCATAAATCTGGTGAAAAATCTCTTGGACTCCACACAAACAGCCGACCAGAAGCAAGCACCAAGTAGTGTAGAAACTATATGTGAAAAATATAAATTTTGAAAATGAATCTACAAACTCTCCATGTAATAGCTCAATCTATTAATTTTTGACATCTGTGATAAATCGGGTTTTATTCCACCAAATAAGAGGAGAAATCTTGATAGAAACGGTGATATGTGAGAATGTATCAAACAATTATCCAAAAGACTAAACATCAAATTAAAAGTGATTACGCTTGCCTTTGTCATCTGAGTTACATTCAGATATTCCTCAATAAAAAAATAGTTTATAGAATTTTATTCATAGTTTCTCTTGTTATAGAATAAAAATCAATTCAGGATCTGTCAAATATTCATTTCCTTTCTGTTTTCATACGAAAAAGAACGTAAAACACGTCGAAGTTGAATACAAAAACAAGATCATGTTGATATTAGCTACAATGATCCCAACATTGGTACAAACGAACACTAAACTTCCACGATTAATCAATGAAACATAGCATAATATACTTCATTGATGTAAGTAATGAATGTACTTCAAAAACATTGCAAGTGTCTAGTTTAAATTCGAAAATGAAAAATTTCGAAACGAAAAATGGTCTTGTGGTCTAGTGGTACGATGCTTTCTTAGGGTGGAAGAGATCCCGGGTTCAATTCCCGGCAAGACCCCTTTTTTTCTACTGCAAATCGAAGAAGTTGTCAGAGAGAAATGGATTTTGAATTTTGATTAGATCGATATCAATACTTTAATCTCTGTAGATGTAATTCCGGTTTCTCTAAATACTAGTACAAATCA